AAGTGTTAAAATAATTAAAAATCTCAGGTATAAAAAGTGTTCAAATGGATTCAGAATAAAGTGTCTTTAAGTAGCTTTCACATGAGCACCCAAAAGGACTAATATAACAATTGAGGATAGCAGATCTATACAGGATGTGCCACTGGAAATAACATCCACTGCTTTTTATGACATAAAACAAAATCACTTTATATTGCTCCTGGATTCTGCATTTCGTTACATGTATTCATGTAACTAACAATGTTTGTCACCTTTAATATATATATATATATCATATACATACATATATACACATATCACATATCATTATGTGTAATAAGATTTTGGTTAAATAGCCCACCCCTAGTTTATATATATATGTTTTTTTTTTTAAAGGTGACAAACTTTGTTCTCATCATGCCTGTGGGTATTTCTGTTGAAAACATACTACTAATCAGTTCTAGGAAGATGTTGACCACTGGAGTGAAGAAAAAAAACAATGAGTGTGAAGTGAGAAGCTGTGAAGAAAAACAGCTGACCACATTTGCTCGGTCGCAAAAATAAACGTGTGAACATCAGTCACTTCTTCAGTTTATTTTCCACTCTGCTGTAGGTTGATCTTTATCTCTCATCACAACTATTTTAACACATTGTTTACATTCATGTCTCTCAACCCCATAATGTACAGATGTTTGGCCTGATCAAGTATCTCCATTGTCCTGCAGCTTGTCCTTCAGTATTTTTCTCTTTTTTTCACTTTTGTTCAGTTAGGTCCAATGCTTTTTCCGCTCTCCACAAACCACAATGAAACACCACAGAGCAACTAAACCACTGACACCAGCCGCATCAGTCACTAAATCACCACAAGAAAAGTTTTCAGCAAGAGATCTGAATCTGAATGCTTTACATGAACACAACATGCATTTTGTGCAAATACAGAAGCAAGTTACATTCAAATAAGCATGCAGATTTATTCTTCAGCCTCATTATTTGGTTCTGGGACCAAATAGCTTTAGGTTTTCAAACACCGACGCAACACAACATGCTTTTGTTCTGCTGTCTGTCAGCTCTGGCCTTCTGTTACTCATTGATTTGGTTTTACTTTTACATTGATGCATTTAGCAGATACTATTTTTCAAAGTGACTTATATCTTACATCGACTGTAGTCTTGAAGACTGAATATTACTTGCACGGTCTTGCATTCACCTCATGATCGATCAAATATACTGCATCCCAAAATACAATATCCTACTGGCCATCATTCTATTATACTTACAATTGTTCATTTAGCACACTCTTTTAACAAGAAAATACAACAGACACTAATAGGCCTTTTATTGCAAAAAATGTAATAAAATTTAAATAAATAAATACGAATGACTTAAATATAACTACCACATGAAAAGAACTATCAAAAGAGAGAAAACATGTAGTGAATAAACATTCAAACTTTAAAATGCTTTTTTAAATGTGACAAACATTAACCTCATCACGTCTGCGGGTGTTTCTGCTGAAAACACACTGTTAATCAGTTCTAGGAAGATGTTGACCACTGGAGTGAAGAAAAAAAACAAAACAACGATGAGTGTGAAACGAGAAGCTGAGAAGAGCTGACCACATTTGCTCGGTCGCAAAAATAAATGTGTGAACATTAATCATTTCTTCAGTTTATATTCCACTCTGCTCTAGTTTGATCTTTACCTCTCATCACGACTATTTTAACACATTTTTTCATACATGTCTGTTGAACCCCATGATCCACAGATGTTCAGCTGTTATAATCATTGTTTGATTCAGTGGTTTTTTTCTTCCCACAAACCATAATCAAACTCCACAGACCGACTAAACCACAGACATCAGCTTCATCAGTCACTGAATCACCACACAAAAAGATTTCAGCAAGAGATGAATTCAATACAGCAATTCACATCAATAAAACATGCATTTTGTGTGAATATATTAGCAAGTGATTAAATGAGATCCGAAGAGAGAAGAACTGCAAATGTAGAGACACTTTAACCTTTAAACACAGTGTGATTTAATACGCTTCTGCTAGAATAAATGCTGATAAACAGTGCTTTAAGAAACTGAAGCTCTCAGGAGCCAAAATGGTCCTGATACTTCTGTGTTTATGCATGTGAACGTGTGAGACAGAGATGGAGTGTGCAAACCAGTGCCTTTAAAATGTAGTTTTTAATACTAAACAATAGCATTCAGATCTGCTTTATATAACATAATCAAATCATGTTGATATATCACATTTGTTTAAAATGACCGAACTGTACAGAACGGTGCACAGATAACGAGAGCGTGTACAGGATCAGGATCTACTCTTCTGTGTTTACTGAAGAGATAGATGAATCCTGATGACTCAGTGTGACTCACTTCTGCAGTATTACTCTTTTGAACAATATTATATCAATTTTGAATCATTTATAATTGATTTTTGACAGTTTATTGTGATTCTGAATGTCGCTGTGTGAATGATTTAGACTAAAGGTCAAAAGGTCAAACATCACACACAGAGAGCTGATCAATAAAGGATATCAAATGAATTATTATCAGGTTTTTTTAAACAATCTAAATATCAGAATGTTTTTAATCTTCACATTCAGTCATTTTAACTCAGTCTAATGGTGTACAGACAGTACATCTCTCCTAAAGACCCTGCTTGAGCGCCAACTAGTGACTGAACATGGAAAACAACATTATTTTACAGTGCCGAAGGCCTTAAAAACCGATATGTGGAAACATTTCTGTAATCTGTTAAAAATATATTTTCCTAAATTATTTTATGAGTTATGTGATCACCACACTCTTAAAAATAAAGGTGCTTCACGGTGCCATAGAAGAACCTTTTTGTCTAAATGGTTCCATAAAGAACCTTTAACATCTGAAGAACCTTTCTGTTTCACAAAAGGTTCTTTGTGGCGAAAGAAGGTTCTTCAGATTACAAAAAGGTAAGAAAGAGATGGTTCTTTAAAGAACCTTTGACTGAATGGTTCTTTGTGGAACCAAAAATGGTTCTTCTATGGCATCGCTTGAAGAACCTTTTGAAGCACCTTTATTTTTAAGAGTGCACCTGATCCTGTTTTTGATTTGAATTAAGATTAAGATTAATTAAGACAAATAATAATTTGATCTGATCATCATCACTAGAAGCTCCTGTGAAACTCTCAGTATATTATTCAGTGATCTGTGTGTTTGATGAGGAAATATCAACTGACTTCAGTTTCCTCACTGAACTCTGACTAAATGTCTACCATAGTGAAGGTCATTAAAATCCTCTGTTTTGAGATTTTCACAGTACTTGTATTATCATGATTTTATGTTGTGTATTGTTTTCTCTCTTCTCTTCCGGTCCATGATCACCTCTGCTGGTGGATGTTGTAACTACATTATCTGGAGACGCAGGGCATCTTCCTTCTTTAAAGGCCATACAAACGAATATGTGTAGTTTGATGAAAGAAATTTATTTTCAAGCAACATATGAAATTGGAAATATTTAATTACAATGTACTTTATTTGTTACCAGGGATTGTAGGTGAGAGGAGTGAATGTACAGTACTCTGTACCACGACTGAGCAAGGCTCCTAACCCCCAACTGCTCCTTGTGTGTGTGTGTGTGTGTGTGTGTGTGTGTGTGTGTGTGTGTGTGTGTGCGTGTGTTCACTTGAATGGGATAAATGCAGAGCTCATGCTCGGTCACTTTCACTTTCGCTCTCCTGATGAAGCTGCTGTAGCTCTCTCTTGTGACTGAATATGAAAATCGCTCCTCACTCTGATATTTCAGTCCTTTAGGAGCTGATATGTGGAAAATGTTAATTATCACTTTGCTTCTTTGATCCATTTTATACTGATTGAAAATCATGTTGATATCTTGCTCTTGTATTGTTTGCATTTTTACAAATTACCCTCTTCCTCATTCTTCTGCTTCTTCTTCATTGAAAACAGTTGTGCTGCTTATTCAAATCTTAAATATGTGGTGGTGTTTTTTAAGTTTTTTTTTTCTTTTTGATGATGAACCAAAAGCTTAGAACAGATTAAAAATATGAAATAGAAAATAGAAATGTGAATTATTTAAAATGATTTGAAATAGCAATGTTTATTAATTGTAAACATCTTTACAGTTTTTTGTTTTTAATAATTTTATTGCACAATTTGCACATTACAATGCAAGAAAGGGATCATATCCCACTTACTAACACTTCATATTTCCATTTTCTTCTACTGCCATCGTGTGCTGAAAAATATGAAGCGCATTTAAAAGTATTTTCATGGCAGCACTTGAATTGCAATAGAAGTCTAGATGGTACTTTTAAACTGTAAATTGTTTTAAACAATAAAAACAAAATGTACAGTAATAAATATAATTTAAAACGTCCTATTTGACACACAACCATTATTATTATTATTAGAAGTAGTATTAGTATTAGTATTATGCTGCACTGTTTCATTCTCTGAATAATTAAACAAAATCTGATTTTATAGGCCCATTTGCAGTAACTGGGTGTTTGTGATTTCAACTAACACAACTAGAAAATTATTTTATTTTATGTGGTTTTTCCTCCCTCAACTATATCTGGTCATAATCAGTTAGAGCTCAGATTCAGCTGCATATACAATCTGTCATTCAGATCTGATTGAGATTTGTGGATGAGAAACATTAACTTCAGAACATATTGTGATGGAAATATTTCATGTAATGGCCTCAGAAGGAGTCAAAAGGGTATGTTCAACTTAGAATGTTCAGAAAAGTGCAGACTAAGAATGCTCAGATCAAAGACTGTGTCCCTATGATTAAATAATATATACTTATCCAAAAAGTGCTTAAAACAGTAGAACTAACAGTCATATGACAAACCAATGACCAGATCAGTAACCAATTACAGTGAAGAAGACTTGAGCTGACATTGATTTTTACTCAAATACAAGGTATAAATATTCATGCATCCTTCTGTTCAGGGAGTCTCTCTTGGTTGTTATGAGTGACCATGGGCTCTCAGCCGTGAATAAAACTTTCATTCCTGCAAAGAGCAACTTGGGAGTGGTGTCTGGTATATGCTGCGCAGCTGAGGAATAGAAATAAAGACTCTATGCTCAAAAGACCACCGCAAAGACAGTGATAGTGTTGGAAGACTATAGAGCTGTCCTTGGGCTGAGGTAACAGCGTACAGCTGAGAAGGGCGGTGAGAGTGTATAGATGCTAAAGACCTGTGTGCTCATGTGTGATTGAGGTAGTGATAGTAGCTTCTTGACGGGACGCCGTCACCATACTTCAGGGAAGTATTGGATTATATTGTAAGTATTCGGGGAATTCAGGGAATTAGCCCAATATACTGTATAGTTATTATATTAACAACTTGTTTGAGTTGTCTGTGGTGAAGTCAGATTAATATTGGGAATTTCCACGACAATATCTTTGGATAACATATTTAATTAAAAATGTAAATTAAACTGGATAAAAAATTATGTAATATGCATAAAATATAATAAATGCTTGTTTTTGCTTCATATAAAACCAAATAAGCTTTTTAAATGCAATTTAAAAAGCTCAACACACACAGATTCATTTCTCTCTTTCACTGAACGGATTCTAGAGGCTCATAAAAGCAGAAACATGTTTGTGTTGTAGCTGGAGCTGAATGTTGATGATGTCAGAGTGATTGACACTGGTGGGCGGGTCTTATGTTATTAAAGTGAACTCCTCCCCTCCTGTTAATTCACTCCATCCACATCCTCTCCAATCAAACCCACGTTCTCAGTTCACACATACAAGTTTTAAATGAGTATATTAAGCAGTTTGAGCTGAATTAACTGCAGAAACATAACAAGAGAATGTATGAGGAAGAGCCACAACTGCCCCATGGTTAGAGGATCTCCCATCAGCATATATATACATTGTAATGTCAAATATAAGTTTACTTTTACTTTTTATATTATTATTATTGTTCCTTTAAGAAGTACATTCCACTGTGCAGTAATAAAATATACACAATAGTAAAGAAATCCATTATGACTTGAAAATAAAAAGGGTTATTGTGAAGACATTTGAGTTTCAGTGTAGGCTACCACATGCTTTTTAACAAGAATGAATGTAGACATAGGCTACAATTTATGTTCATGGAAAAAATACATATGACCATGCATTTGTATTTTCTTTCAGAGGCGTAATTAGCAGGATAATGTGGTGTACACTGGATTCTCGAGATGCTGACCAACTCTTGATCAAACTGTGATTCTGTTTTTGGTTTAGTAACTTTTTACACCCCAAATACGGGGCAGGAGATGAAAATGCATGAATACAAATGTATGAATATTAAAAAGTTCATAAAAGTGGTGCATTTGTCCATCATTTGAAGGGTTTTCCCTAGTTTATACAGGATTTCATTAAGGCATATATAGATTGCACTTGTTTCTTACTAATTTTGGAGTGCTGATGGCAAAACATAGCACCTTTTTCGCTTCAGAATGTCCCACTTAGTGACATTTTGTAGCATTTTTTGCTTTCGACAAACATTTGTAAGATGAAGTAGTTCTGTTCTGCAGTGGAAAAAAGCACTGAGTGTGACAATCACTGACAATCACAATCACAAGGTCGCAAAAGTAAATCTGTGAACCTTAGTCCTTTCCGTTTATATTCCATTCTGCTCTTAGTTTGACCTTTGATCTCTCATCACAACTATTTTAACCCATTGTTGCATTCATTGCTGTTGAACCGCATAATTTACAGATGTTTGGCCTGATCAAGTATCTCCACAGTCTTTTTCATCCGATCAAATCTGATTCAGGTGTCATTTGTTTAATTTGAACTCAGTTTAATGGTGTACAGACCTCTGTAGTGTAAGACCCTGCTGTGACCAAACATGGAAAAACTGTTATTTTATAGGGGCGAAGGTCTTAAAAACTGCTATGTGGAAACTTCAGTTTTGGTGGAAGTGTTAAAATATATTTTCCTAAATGATTTTATGAGTTATGTGATCACTGCCTGGTCCTGTTTTTGATTTGAATTCAGATTTGGCCTGATAATCATCAAGCTCCTGTGAAAACGAAATGGATTCATTAAATGGTCTCCTCCCAGTAATATTGTGCTTTTAAATACATGCACATAAAATACATTCATTATACTTATTTTTAGAAATTTTTCACAGTATATGTACTGGCTCAGGGTATGTATTGTTTCCTCTCTTGTCTTTTGGTTTTGGCCTGTTCGGCCCTGCTGGTAGATGTTGTAACTACACTTATCTAGGACCACAAGGCATGGCCTTCTTCTTTGAAGGGCATTCAGCAAATATGTGTCTGGTGAAATAAATGTATTTTCTAGCAACATATGCAACTTCAAATATTTTAATATATATTATGTTTTATCAGTGACTGCTTTCAGGGTGATGCTGCCCAATGAAATTGAATTAGCTCCCTCTTGTGACTGAATATGAAAACACATTAAGTTTTAACTGATACTCAATTATATTGTAGGCCTTTAAACACTGATATATGGAAATGTCAATATTAACTTATTTGAAGTGTTTGTATATTAATTCATATCCAAGTCTATTTCAAATAAAGTCTGTTCATTCGGCAGCAATATTTGAAAAGCATCCGGGCAGATATTCTGGGTATTCAAGACCAATTTTATCTATTTTAATGAGGAAATCCTAAAATCTAAAATGGTAAATTACGCTCATAAAACATCCTGCAGTTGACTTTGCCAAAGTGTAAAAGTGTCTTTTATGTCTAAAATTGTGTTTAGCTCTAGTTTTTTTTTTTACATCTCTCAGAAGGTGGCCAGCTTCGGGTGTTTTGCCCATCACTGCACTCTAAAAA